GTGTGTGTGTGTGTGTGTGTGTATATATATAAGTGTGTGTTTGTGTAGGTGTGTGTATAGGTGTGTGTGTGTATATAGGTGTGTGTGTGTGTGTATAAGTGTGTGTGTGTGTGTAGGTGTGTGTGTATAGGTGTATAGGTCTGTGTGTGTGTGTGAGTGTGTGTGAGTGTGTGTGTAGGATTGCTGGGCTGAGATAAGCTGCTGTGGGGGAGTGTGTTTGCTCTCAGGGAGGATAAATCGCATGCGATATTTAATGCGCATCTTGTCAGAAAGCCGGTTCTGTAATCAGCGGTAATATATAATATAAAATATAAGAATATGAATATATAAATGTATATGCATGTAAATATCTTCAAAATATATACATGCATGTGTGTTTATTTATATATACATAATAAATATACACAGTACACATACATATATATTATGTAAACAAAAACTTTTATTTTGGATGCGATTAATCACGATTAATCGTTTGACCGCACTAGTTTATTCATTTTCATGATTCATTATTTAAGTTTTAGTTTGAGTCATTTTAATACTTCAGCTTAAACTAAATGAAAATTAGAAATGCTGCCTTGGCATAAAACTGAAATAAAATCGTTTTTATTTTAATATTTTGATTTTGATTTTAATTAAAAGTTTTAGTAGTTTTGTTGTGTTTTTGATTTTTATTAGTTTTTGGGGTTTTTAATGTCTATATATTTTATTCATTTCGATTTCAGTTTTAGTTTAAGAAATTTTAGTACTTTAACAAACGAAAATTAAAAATGCTGCCTTGGCATCTAACTGAAATAAAAGTTTGTTTTTATTTCTATATTTTTTCTAAGTTTTAGTAATTTTTGTCACTTTTATTAGAATTTTAATGTCTGCATAATTTTTATTCATTTCTATTTCAGTTTTAGTTTCAGTCATTTTAGTACTGAAACTAAATGAAAATGAGAAATGTTGTCTTTGCATCTAACTGAAGTTTTATTTATTATGATAATTTTTTTCCATTTTAATTTTAGGTAAAATCTTTGTAGCTTAAATTAAAATGTGGCCTTGGCATCTGCCTGAAATAAAATATTAATATTTATAAATTTAGTTCCTTTTTTTGAAATTTTGTTGTATGCTTTTGTCACTTTTATTAGTTTTTGTTCTTTTAATGTACATATTTATTTTAGTTTTAGTAATTTTAGCACTTCAACTTAAACTAAACAAATTAGAAATGTTGCCTTGTCATCTAACTCAAATAAAATGTTAACGTTTTTATTTTTATATTTTAGTTAAAATTTAGTACTGATGTTTATTTTTGCCTTTTTTATTAGTTTAATTTGAAATGTCTAAATAATCTTTTATGTCAGTTTTAGTAATTTCAATACTTCAGCTTAAGCAAATTAGAAAAGTTAAAACTTAGTTAAAAAATTAAGTTAAAAAATTAAATTTAAGTTTTATTTTTATATTTTTCCATTTTCATTTAAATTTGAGTTTTATTTTTAATCATTTTGTTGAGTTTTTTATTATTCTTCTTTTTTATTCGTTTTTGTTGTTTTTAGTGTGATTTATTATTTTATTTCAGTTCAAGTATTTTAATTTAAACTAAAACAAAAATTTGAAATTTTGAAAAGTTCTTATGTATTTTATAAAATTATATATTTAATATTATTTCATCAATTTTATTTATTATTTCATTTCAGTTAATTTTTATTTTATTTCAACCAATAGTTTTAGTTTTATCTAACGATAATATCCAAGCGGTCAAAGAAACAAAGTCATATTGGTTTGGGGGAACTAGACCATCAACCTCGGGAGAAGACATAGTTAAATTACTCAATAATACATAGGGCCCTATGATTTCTGCGATGGAGAAGTACGGGAATCCAGTTAAAAAAACGGAATTTACAGTTTAACACGGAATGTCACGGAATTTGCCAAAGTTTGGATGAATTAACCAAAAGTAGGACATTACTATTGTTCAGCAGAATATATGTAATACTACTACTAAAATTATTAAAACCTTATTTTTTTAAAGGGATAATCATACAATATTTATTCAGCGTTTTAATTGTAAATCCCCTTTATTTGCCAAAAAATTTAATTTGTTTAAATTTCATTAATGAAAAGATAAATTAATGATTTAAACAAATTTAATAACAAAAAAAAATTAATTAATACATAATTTCTGAGGGAAAAAAACATTTCATAAGGCTATTGTAAGAATAAATGAAACTTGTTTTTATGCATTCAAATAATTAGACATGCTAAAACACAGAATTTAGTAACTATAAAACATAAGGTGGCAAAAAAATTAAACATTTAATAGGCCCCTAAACATGTAATTTTTTGTTAAGCTTTAAATAAATTGATGTTAAATTGTTTAGGTTTAATGATTTTAATTAGCTAATTAGACATGCTTTTTGATTAATAAAATTTAATTTAACCATTAAAAAGGAGTTCAGAAAAATTAAAACAGAAAAAAAACGGAATCCAGAAAAATGTAAACGAAAAAAAAAAAAAAACGGTATTTGGGAAAAAATAAAACGGATTTCATAAGGCCCTAAATACATCTAACTTTGCACCGCTCACCTTCCCAAGGCTCCTCTCCACCTTGCGGAAGCACTTGTTGAGGGACAGGTTGTGGCGCACCGAGTTCTTCCACCCAGTGGGGGCGCTGGAGAAGTACGGGAAGTGCTCCAGGATCCACCCGTAGATGTCCTTCACCGGCAGCGACTTGCTGGGCGACTGTTCGATGGCCATGTATATGAGCAGGGAGAAGGAGAACGGCGGCTTGGACTTGACGGACTCTCTGGCGTGCGCCGCGGCCGAGGAGATGACGGAAGCGCCGTGGTTGCCCTCGATGTCGAAGAGCGGGCTGGGTCTGGACTGGGCCTCGGGGCTGCCCAGCGTGAAGTTCTGAAGCAGGTTCTCGTGGAGCCAGTTGAGGTTGGTGAGCTCTTCGTCTCCTGAGCTGGAGCTGCGGTCCAGGCTGGTGGCCAGAGGGCTGGCGGCGCACTCGGCCTCGGGCAGCGTCCCACAAACCCCGCGCAGGCACGCCCGCTCCTCCACCACGCCCGGGGATTCTGCTTTCTTATCCGGCGACATCCCGATGATGGGACCCATTAAATCAAGGACGTCTGCTGAAGAGAGAAACAGAAAAAAAAACTAATTAAAAACAAATTAAAATGATGCACAAAATGGTAATCAATTGGAGCGAATAGAAAATGCAACGTAACTCTGAGAACAGATAAAGACGCAAGCTTATAATAGACGCACGTTGACAAATAACTTGAAACACAAACATAAAATGATGATCCTGATGACAATGATTTATCTGTTGACATTAATTTTGAGTGCAATCCAAAACAAATATTGCAATATACAGTAGTCAAGTGGATCAAAACCTTTCATCAAAGTTGTCCTAAAACCTAAAACCAAAATGCATTCTTGTCTTAGGACAACTTTGATGAACTTTGATCCACTTCAAATGTTTACTACTGTATATATCAATTGTATTATATATATATATATATATATATATATATTTATATATATTTATTTAAAAATAATTTTAAATTGTAATACTATTTTACAGTATTACGGTTTACTCAAATAAATGCAGTCTTGGTGAGCAAAAAAAATTGAAAAAAACATACCAACCCCAAATGTCAACCTCACTAATACGGACCAGTCCCTACTGTGAGGGGCGTAACATTTCCGTCTCACGCTTGAGGTATTCGGCCAATCACAACACACTGTAGATCTGGCCAATCAGAGCACACCTCGCTTTTTAGACCGATGAGCTTTGTAAAAATCGACACGTTTCAGAAAGGCGGGGCAAAGAGGAGAAACAATAATGTACAGAATGTGGAAAATAATATGTTTTTTAAACTTTAAACCGCATAAACACATTTCATTACACCAAATACACAAAATAATGTTCTTTTTAGCAGCATCATATGACCCCTTTAATATTTTCAAATATAATGTTATGCATAAATTCACTTACAGCATTTAAAACATTTCATGTTTTATGCATTTTATCTAACAATAATAATAAAGATGATGATAATAATAATAATAAATAATAACAAATATTATTATTACTTACACTTTTATATTAAATAGTTTATTAAATTAATATTATTATAAATTAATTGTTTAATTGTTGTGCATTATATATTATAATAACAATACTATTTATATTAAACTTGTTATATTTATATTTATTATCAAACTCATGCCAGACATTATTAATTGGTTAATTCAAGCTTTTTCCCTTTTTATAACCATTTTTGAAGAGCACAAACTTCGAGTCAAAGTTTTCCCTACATATTCTTCTCTAATCTCCCTCATTCCCATCCAATGATCTCTCTTTTAGAGCAGTCTCTGTGAGAAAGCTGGCGTTTCTCGCAGTCGTTCAGCGACGGCAGCTGAAGGAGCGACTCTTGTGTCTGAGGGTTGTTGAGGTTTCTCGAGAGCGTCTGAGATGACCCGGCCTCATTCTCATCACCGCCCACCTCCTCACGCAGCTGCTCGTTAGCCATCGACGGCCACTGGCTGAGGGCTGCTTAGAGCCAAAGGAGAAGGAAAAACCCTTCCTGAAGGCAGAGCGTCTCTCCGCTCATCCATTACCATGGAACGAGAGGTGACAGTGTTGCTTAGGTAACCTATTGCCTATAAAGTGCCGAGCAGGAGAGCATCGCTGCCGGTTATTTGCATTTGTATGAAACAGTTCAGTGGGAATTTTATTGAAAGCATGCTGAAATTGCTATCCATCTGGTTTGGATCGCATTTGTGTAGATGCTCTCGCTGTAATGGCATTATATGGATTCAAGTTTCATGGTATTGTTTCAGAGTATCACCCATAAATGTGTGCCAACAAAAAATAAATAAATAAATAAAACAAAAATAGAATGAAAAAAGAAGTACAAAATTAAATAAAAAAATAAACTAAATAAATAAAATACCAAATTACATACAAAACATTAAAACTAATATACTAAAAATAATAATAATAATAAAAAAAGTTTAAAAAATAAAAAAAGAGTATTGTTTTAGAGTATTATCCATAAATGTGCACAAACAATTAAAAAATAAAATAAATAAAAATACAATTTTAAAAATGTAATAAAATTAAAAAGAAATAAATACAAAATATACTAAAAACAAAAACAAAACAAAAAAAAAAATATATATATATTTTTTTTTTTGTTTTGTTTTTGTTTTTAGTATATTTTGTATTTATTTCTTTTTAATTTTATTACATTTTTAAAATTGTATTTTTATTTATTTTATTTTTTAATTGTTAGTACAAATCTGCCACTGCAGATTGTATTCAAGATATTATATATATATTTTTTTTTTTTTAATTCTAAAACTAAAAACAAGCAAGTAAAAAGATAAAGGATAAAAAAATAAAATAAATAAAATCCTGTAATTGCATCATAAGTACTTACGTTTCATGCTATTGTTTTAGAGTATCATTCATAATTGTGTGCCAACAATTAAATAACAAAAAATATATATATAAATAAACTAAAAACTAAAATAAACCAAAAAGAAATAAATACAAAATTAAACAAAATATATATATAAATAACATGAAATCTAATAAACTAAAAAAAATATTTAAAAAACTAAAAATATTTGTAAAAAATTAAATGGCATGACACTGATTTACGTTTCATGCTATTGTTCATCATCATAACTGCCAACAATCAAATAAATAAAAAAAATCCAAAAATATTTAACAATTCAAATTGTGGATGCTCTCGCTGTAAAAGCATCATAAGGATTCATGTTTCTTGCTATTGTTTCAGAGTATCATCCATAACTATGCTTCAACAATAAAATAAAAAAAATACTAAAATATAAAAAGCATAACCAAATTAAATCATGTTAACTTTTTTTAATTTTTTTGTATTTAATTTTTAGTTTAATTTATTTTATTGTTATTATAAAAATAGAGTATTGTTTTAGAGTATTATCCATAAATGTGCACAAACAATTAAAAAATAAAATAAATAAAAATACAATTTTAAAAATGTAATAAAATTAAAAAGAAATAAATACAAAATATACTAAAAACAAAAACAAAACAAATCGCTGTAAAAGCATCATAAGGATTCATGTTTCTTGCTATTGTTTCAGAGTATCATCCATAACTATGCTTCAACAATAAAATAAAAAAAATACTAAAATATAAAAAGCATAACCAAATTAAATCATGTTAACTTTTTTTAATTTTTTTGTATTTTATTTTTAGTTTAATTTATTTTATTGTTATTAAATATAGTTTTATTTATTTTATATACACACACACACACGTATATATATGTGTATATATATATATATATATATATGTAATATATATATATATTTGTGTGTGTATATATATATACATATATTTAATCCATCTGGTTTGGATTGCATTTGTGTGGATGCTCTCACTGTAGTAGCATCACAAGGATTTATGTTTCATACTATTGTTTCAGACATAATCCGTAATCGAGCACCAACAGTTGGCACACCGTTAAGCCAAA